CTCTCTGATCAGTCATGCTTCATTCTCTGACAGTAGAGATGTCTTTCCTAAATAAAGTGTAAAAATTTCAAGGGATGACTGTGTGTATATATATATTTGTGTGTGTGTGTGTGTGTGTGTGTGTGTGTGTGTGTGTGTGTGTTCTCACACATGTGTGGGTGAGAGTATACATGCATGTGTGTGCACATGCATGCGGAAGCCAGAGGCCAGTCTTGGGTGTTGGTACTGGCTGGTTTTGTGTGTCAAGCTAGGGTTGACAGAGAGGAAGGAGCATCAGTTGAGGAAATACTGATGCTCCAGAGTTATAGAAAGTTATCAGCTACCATGTGGGTGCTGGAAATTGAATCCAAGTCCTCCACAAGAGCAAAAACTGCTCTTAACTGCTGAGCCGTCTCTCCAGCCCCCATGCCCAGCTTTTCATATGAGTTCAAGGGATTGAACTCAGGACCTTATGTCCGTACAGTAAATACTTCACTGACAGAGTTATCTCCCCAGACTCCTAATTCTTTTTTTTAATTTAATTTATTTTTTGTTTTCAATACATCCTGACTGCAGTTTCCCCTCCTTTTACTCCTTCCAGTCCCCCCACTTTCCATCTTCCCCAGATTGACTCCTTGTCCAGTTCCCTTCCAAAAAGAGCAGGTCTTCCAGGGATATCCACTGAACATGGTATAACAAGATACTGTAAGACTAGGTACAAACCCTCATATCAAGGCTGGACGAGGCAACCCAGTAGGAGGAAAAGAGTCCCAAGAGCAGGTGAAAGGGTCAGAGACGCCCCACTCTCACTGTTAGGAGTCCCTCAAAAGCACCAGGCTAAAAACCGTAACATATATGCAGAGGACCTGGCACAGACCCATGCAGGCTGATTGTCCTTCAGTCTCTGTGAACCAGACCCTTAATTCTTAATAATAATGTTTAAAGTTCTGCTCATAATAGGTATCAGATTAATGACTTCTGACTTGAATAGACCATCAGAATACTTGTCTTCCCTAGTCTGATTTTAGGAGGGCACAGACAGTCTCTAGAATGGGAACTACAGTATGTGAGTGCAGCACTTGTTTCCTTATTAGAAGAGCATGGTGGCACTAGCCCTGGTGACTCTTGTGTTCTGTCACTTTCTTTGGCGTTTGCACATGAAGTGGCTTCCTTGAATCATTTTTCTTCACTTGATCAGTGTTTCTAGATCTAAACACGACTCTCTATTTCCATCCTTTCCCATCTCATCAGAATTCCCTCCCCAGTTCAGGAATTCTCTCATTCACAGTACATGTTATAACCTTTCTGTGGTTAGACTGTGAATACTCAAAAGATACTGAACAGCCTGTGTGATGACTGCATGTTCACATGTGAGTGACCAGCATGACATTCTATTAGAGAGAGACAGAGAGAGACAGAGACAGAGAGAGAGACAGAGAAAGAGAGAGAGGAGAGAGGAGAGAGAGTATAAAGGCTGAGAGTTAGGCACCAGCAACTGATTTTCTGCCTCTAGCAGTGTGATGTCTGGTACAGGCCTCACTCACTGTCATTTAAACATTTCCCAGAAGGAGACAGCTGGTTCTCAGACTTGCAAAAGCTTCAGTTCAGATGAAAAGTGGCTCTGGCCTTGCCTGTAAGCACCCCTTCCTCTGTGGTGTCTCCTTCGTGTCCTCCTGTGGTTCAGCAGGGGTTGCACCCCAGCCTGGAAGTGGAGGTTACTTTCTTCACTGACAACATTTAACCAAGGGCCAAAGGAAGGAAGGGAGCAGGAGAGGCAGCCATCCTCTGTCAAGTTGTCAACACAGGAGCATGCATGCTTTTGTCAGGGCTGTAAGGAACTTTGACAAGGATGGCCTTAACTAATTCTACGTCAACTTGACTGATCTGGCTTGGGGGGAGGCAGATTAAGGATGATTTGGGGGGCGTGTCTTTGGGGATGTTGCTGGGAGAGATCAGTATTTGAAGTGGTGGACTCATAAAAGAGTGATGGGCATCATCCAGTCTATGAGGGGCCTGAACAGAGAAGTAGGTGGGAGAAAGAGGGAACCCCTTTCCTGCCTGCATTCACGAGCTGGGATGTTGACATTTTTCTGCCCTTGGACTTGGGCTTTATACCACCCACGCCCCAGTTCTGGGTTCTTTAATATGAGACTGGAATCAATCTCACCAGCTTTCCTGGGCTTCCAACTTCAGACAGTGGCGCTTCCCAGTCTATATGTTTCTGATCTTGTTCTCTGGTACATTTGAATGCGCTGTCTTTCCCATGACTTCTTTGGGACTCAGGTTTTTTCCTCGCCTGACACATGAAACAGGGATAGCCCTTTTCATGACCAAAGGGTTGTCTATGGTCCTGGAGATGAAAAGCGAGTTTGTAAATGATTTAATGATTAAAAAATATATCCTATTGGGAGTAAAGAATTAATATTATTTGAATTTATATGGCTTGGTCTAGAGGGAGAAAAGAAATGTGGAATACCTCTATAATCATGCTCAAATATAAGAAAATCCGTTGACCAGCTGTTCTCAATTTCACCTGTAAAGAAGGGAAGATGAGGGATGGATCTGAGAGGCTCCTCAGGGAGCTATAAGACAGACCTGTCTGACACTGTAGATCGGTGCTTCTCAAATTTCCATGGGGATAGACTCCCTCCACTATTGGTTAAAATACACCTTCCTGGCTTCTACACTTAGCGGTTCTGACCCAGTGCAACTGGAGTCTAGCCCAGAAATCCCCATTTTTAATAAGCCTTGGTCCTCCAAGGTGAATGGAGGTGATCGTTTTCTAGAGCCCCCTTGAACGACGTTCAAGTAGATGGGGGAATGGATTGGATCCTAACAGGACTTACTGAGCCTTTCTTCACTGGACCACCTCATTGTTTTCATTCTGTTTGACCAGAGGAGAACTCACCATGTGTTGGGGGTGTGTACGGGGTTAAATAACAACCCCTTCAAATAAATTCACATCCTTCCCAGAAACTTTATCATAGGATACAATTTGGAAATAGGTCATTGGAGATACATTTTGTGCTACAGGACTTCCCCCAGGGAGATGAGAAAGTGATGGACAATGAACAAATGCTTGTTCTCCCCAGACATGGCACCAACAGCAGACGAGGAAAAGATGCCAAGTCCAGAGGGCGAACCAACGAGTTTGCAGATCTCATTTATAGGTGCCTAGGTGAAGGGTTACTCACAGGGAGTGTGGGAGACACCCCCCAAAGAGATTCCATAGTGGAAAACCCCAGCCCAGCCTGGGGGGTGACGTCTCCAAAGCTGTGTAGATGGAGTACCCCATTCAGTGGACCTTTAACCTAATATGTATGGTAGCACTTCCTCAGATCACATGCGGCTGGGGCAGGACGGTATACCGCTGGAGGGAGGCAGGAGGGAACAAGTGGCCATATTCTCAGGTAAGGGTTTGATGACCTTGTTCCCATTCCTTCCGTCAAGGAATGCAGGGGGGCCAGGCTTGGGAGGGCCCTGCACAGGTATGCATAGCTGCTTTGGTTTCAAGATGGCAGCAGGCCATGGCATGCCTGGAGGACCCATTCCACAACACGTAGTTAAGATGAAGTCATCTACTCAGATGGCTGGAGCGGCACAGGCAGAAGGTCATGTGACAGTCGAGCCTGAGGGGGAGTGAGGCATCTATGAACCAAGGAGAGCTGGTGGCCACAGGAAGTCATGACGTGACAAGGAAAGGTTCTCCCCTCAAGCATTCAGAGAGCGTAGCCTCGCGACAGCTTCCAGAGCTGAAAGAGAATGCTTTAAAAAAAAAAAAATTTAAATATTTTTATTTTATAATTAATTTAATTTGACATATCAGCCACGGATTCCCCTGTCCTCCCTCCTCCTGAGAATGCTTTTTTTTTTCTTCTTCAATCATTCGGCACCATCCAGTTTCTGGCTGTCTGTTATGGCAACCCTAGGAAACTAATTCATGGATTTCTACCATGATTTTGCCAACAGGATGAGAAGTGGCCAAGCTCTCAATGCCGGCCTCTATTGTTTTGCAGCTCTGTCTGAGTCCTTCTAAAGAGTGTGGGTATTGAACTCTTTGCAATTGTCCTAAACTAGATAAGTGGTTTATTTTTTTTTTAATTTTAATTTTTTTGGTTTTTCGAGACAGGGTTTTTCTGTGTAGCTTTGCACCTTTCCTAGAACTCACTTGGTAGCCCAGGCTGGCCTCGAACTCACAGAGATCTGCCTGCCTCTGCCTCCCGAGTGCTGGGATTAAAGGCGAGTCCCACCACCGCCCGGCTGATGAATGGTTTATTAGCGTTTATGGCATCCTTTTTTGAAAATGCTTCTAAAAGGACTGGAGAGATGGCTCCATGGTTGAGAGCACGGTTGCTCTTTCAGGAAAAGGACCTGGGCTCAATTCCCAGCACCCACATGGCAGCTCACAGCTGTCTGTAATTCCAGTTCCAGGGGATCTGACACCCTCACACCAATGCACATAAAATAAAGTAAAAAAAAAAAATCTTTAAAAAAATGCTTCTAAAAATTGATCATATGGGGCGAGGGGAGGGGATCAAGGTGCAATGCCTGCTTAGCATTCATGAGATGCTGGGATCTCTTCTCATATATATATATATACACACAGAATATAACCAAACATGTATGTTCTTCAATATTTCAGTCAGGTGGGATTTTAATACTTATGAGATTATAAAAGTAAATACACTTATTTTTAATAATAAGCAGAATACTCTGGATTTTTGTAACTGAACATAAATTTGTTTTGCAATCGTGTTGTTAATTGTGAATACATTCGTAGTTACTCTTTCCTCCTGCTAAAATTCGAATAGTTCAAGAATAAATCTGATTTTTCACTGGTTTGAAGTGATGGTGATGTTTTTGTACAGGATGTTTCTCTATTAAAATTAGACCCGGATAAAAGAATTCATAGATGAAATTCCTTATAAGGCATATCAAGAGAACCTCCTGTCTTAAGGGGTACCACTTTGTAATTGCTAAGATGTAACTAATAAAGTTCTGTTTTGATTGTTCTTTTTTTTTTTTTCAGAGAACCTGATTTCTAGAAAGCCACCAACTTGCTGGTGTTGAACTCCAGTCTCCCGCCTCTCAGGTGGGCGCCATAGAACTATGGAACACAATAGAGGAAAGGCAGTGAGCTCATAGCGTTCCATACACATCATTTTTTTATGCTAATAAAACACTCAACTGAGTCATTTTCCCTGGCCACTTTTCCACTGTGGAAAAACCTAAATCAAAGCCCATGACTGCTTTTATTGGCAAACAGTAGATAAATCAGGGATGTGAAAAGGCAAACAGGATTCAGCACAAGTGAGTCTCGGAATGGACTCTCTGGGTGAAAGGTTTATTCTGTCGGTTTTCCTCTTGAGACACTTAGGTTTAAGGAAATGTTTGCGCTGCTCTAGAGAAAGAGTTGGTTGTGTGTTTTTCTTTTGTGTTTGGACCACTCTGGAAGTAATTCCTTAGGGCCCAATTATCTAACATATGGCGATGTAGCAAAGGCCCGAAGCAAAGGTCATTTGGATGTTGTAGACAGGAAAGAAGAACATCCATCTTAGAGAATACGAGTCAGGAAGGGCGAAGGCACAGGCTGTGGTCAAAGGGCCAGGGAAAGGGAGCGATTCCACACAGAAAACGGAACTGTGGCTTTTGCTTTTACTTTTGTCTGTGTTTGATTTTACACGAGAACTGGTTATGTGGGGGCCCAAGGAAACCTGTTGGTGATGGACAAGGTGTGCAGATCAAGTCGTCACTGCCTGTCCTTGTGACCTGTGCTCATGAGCAGGGCACTGAACTCAGTAGACCCCATACTTGGAACCTATTGTTGCTGTCTTAAGATTCTTAATATTTTCTTTTAATTGGGACTTATCATTGCATTTGGTCCCAGTCTGCAAATTATGTGACAGTTCTGCAAATGTGGTCTATTCTAAACTTCATTCTTTTAGAGGAGAAAAAATAAAATCCTGGGACAGTAAATGACTTGGCTGAAGAAGCAGAGCCAGGAACAGATGAGTCTGGCTTCTCTAGGTCAAAACTGCAACTGAGATCAAGTTCAAAGGGTCTCAACAAGGAGAAATGCCTTCCCACACACACTGAAAAAAAAACTTTTACAGCATCATAAATGAGCCAAATAAAGCATTTGGAACCAAGTTCTGGACCTAACTGGATCTGAAGCAGACCTCATACTGATTTTTCTTTTTTAGGATATGTCTTAAGAAACCGTGGGCTGTCATATTGAGTTTCCTTGGTTCCTGAGGTCTGGGTATGCTGGTATTCACCCATCATCTTCTCACCCAAAGAACCCTGTGGTCAGGATCTCTAAGTACAGGAGCCAGTTGGATGGTCCTTCTAATGCCACGGACACTTGACGGTCCTATTCTATTCCTGACCACTGCTGTGCTGTGGACAACCCTTTTCTGCACTGTGACTATGTGTTACTCTCATTGGTTAATAAAGAGCTGACAGGCGGGTAGCTGGGCAGAGAGTTAGGCAGGAAAGCCAAACTGAGAATGATGGGAAAAAGGAGGGCAGAGTCAGGAGACGAGATGCCAGCCAGCTGCTGAGCAAGCAGGACGTGTAGAAGATGAGGTAAAAAGCCATGAGCCATATGGCAAAGCATAAATAGAAATATGGGTTAATTTAAGTGTAAGTTCTAGCTATTAAAAAGCCAAGCATTTATAAGTAATATTCAGCCTCTGAGTGGTTATTTGGGATTGGGACAGGAAACATCCATTTACACTGCTGTTCCAGTGAAAATGGGTTAATTTTGATGATGGTGTATGTTCTTGCAAAGCCAGAAAGATAACCAAGGTCAGCCCTGTATCAGCTTTATGACAAGCGATACTACATGCCAGAACTGAACCGTGTGGCTGCCTATGGAAACCAAAGGGAACAAAGCTCACAGTACTGTCAGGACTCAGATTTTTGGTGGATTGTAGATGAGGCAGGGCATAGTCAGTAGTTGCTTTTAACTTTAAGATGGGAATAGAAGGTCTGCTTTTAACCTCTGTCTCGGCGCACTCTCCGTAACTCTCTGATGATAAACAACATTTAAAAAATATGTATTTATAGTAAGTTTACAACTCCATGCACACATGGCAGACTGAAATTCTGAAGGAGCAGAAAAATCCAGGGAATTCCCCAGACTCATTTCTCCCTATGAGAAGTCTTTAACTTGCAGTTCCCTTTATGTAAATCAGAGGGGAATATCTAGGTTGCTATTAGACGATTTACAAAGAAAAGGGTGTCTGAAATAACAAACAAACACACTACCACAATCAAGGAGACTGAGAAGTGCCCCCCACATCTTTCTGATGTCCCGCACACACATTCTTGTTTGAGGAGGTGGTAGGGATCTCAATGACAAAAAGAGACACCGTGCGAAGAATGTGGCTCACACTCTTCTGTGAAAGAGATAGTCAGGGTTTTCTTATGTACCTGGTGTGGGTGTGGAAGGGTGAGGCACCAGATCTTTGCCATGTGAGGGTCAAGCAGAGAGAAGTAGAGAGTGGAAATAATACAAGGAGACTCTCCTGAGACATTTATCTTGGCAGCGTTTGAAATCACAGCATGCCGGAGCTGAAGAACACTAATCTTTCACATGTTGTTTTTGTTTTGGAATCGCTGTGTAGTTAGCCTCTTCTCAGCCTTCCAAGTGCTGGGTTTGCAGACAGGTACCACCACATCCAGCTTCACTTAGAGTTTATAGATGAAGAAACCAAGGGATAAGCAGTCTGTGGTGGTCATTTGGCCAGTTGGTAGCCAAAGTGGGCCACTAGTCTCCAAGTATATTTCTTTCGTGGAATGTGGAGTCTGGGAGAATGCTCACTGCAGAGGACTTCTGTAAAGACAAGTCAGTTTGTGTCAAACATTGAGGTACAGTGACCTTGATCTGGGGCATTGGTTTTTCAAGGCACTTATATTGGGACTATGTCTTTAAGTTGGCTCTGGTTTTGGTTGCTGTGAAAATGACAGAGGATCCATCCCAAGGACCTATTGCAAATGTTCTACACATTGGTCACAAGGGCAGAGATGAAGGAGGTGTAGGTGGAGTTTTCCTGTCCTGACCACCTGGTCCCAAATGACCTATTCAGAGGCTGAATATGAATGATAAATGATGGACCGATAGCTCAGGCTTGTTACTAGCTAACTCTTGCACTTAACCCATATTTCTACTTATGCTTTGCCATGTGGCTCATGGCTTGTTACCTC